CTTCACGCGGTGCACGGCGAAGTCTCCCTGGGGAGGCAGCTGCCCCCAGACGGCGATGCCATCCCGGTTGTAGCGGCTGAGCCAGCCCAGCTCCGTCTCGCACTCCGCCTGGAAGGCGCGGAAGGCGGCTTCGTCGGGGAGCTGCACGGGCTCCATCAAGGCGGGGCGCCCCGTCTCAGCCGCCGCGGCCGGAGCAGCCCCAGGTGCGCCCAGGTGAGCGAGCGAGCGGGCGGGCGGGCGGGGCAGGTGCGGCGCTCGGGCAGGTGGCAAAGCTTCTTCCCCGGCTGCCCAGCACGGACTGCGAGGCTCCCGGGCCGGGCCGGGGCCGAAGGAGCGCACGGCGGGGCAGGTGAGGCGCTGCCGCTTCTTCCGCAGCCGCTGATTGGCCGCGCCCGGGAGCGCCCGCTTGCCGGTCCGCCCGCCTCCTCCTCCTCTTCCTCCTCCTCCTGGGGCTCCGCGGCTGGGAAGGCGCTGCTGCCCCTCCGCCCCCGCGCCGGGCGAGGTTTCCAAGGGCGGCCGGGAAAAGGGCTACGGGCGGCCGGGACTGTTAAGACGCCGAGACGCTCCGCCGGGCGCGTTCCGGGATGGAAGCTCCGGGCCGGGAGGAGGGCCCGCTGCAACCGCCTCGCGCGCGGCTGGGAGGGGAGGGAAGGAGGGAGGGAGAGAAAAGGAGGGAGAGAAGGGGAGGGAGGGAGAGAGAGGTGGGGGGAAGCAAGAGAAGGAGAGATGAAGAGAGGGGGAGGAAAGGAGGGAAAGAAGGAAGAGAAGGGGAGGAAGGGAGAGAAAGAGGGAGCAAGAGAAAGGGAGGGAAGGAGGGAAAGAAAGAGGGAGGAAGAGAAAGGGAGGGGGAGAAGGGGAGGAAGGGAGAGAAAGAGGGAGGAAGAGAAAGAGAGGGAGGAAAGGAGGGAAAGAAATAGGGAGGAAGAGAAAGAGAGGGGAAGGAAGAGAAAAGGAAGGGGAAGAGAAAGGGAGCAAGAGAGAGAGAGAAAGAGGAAGGGGAAAGAAAGGAAGAGAAAGAGGGAGAAAGAGGAAGAGAGGAGGAAAGGGGGGAGAGAAAGAGGGAGGAAGAGTGAGAGAGAGGACAACTATCAGCAAAGTTTGGAAAACTGAGCCAGAAATATTTTTTAAGTAAAAATGAGTGAAAGTGGGAGAACAATAAAAAGTAAAAAAAAAAAACCTGAAACATTACAGGTAGTCCTTGACCTATGACTACGATTGAGCCCAAAATTTATGTTGCCAAAGGCAACATTGAGTTTTACCCCATTTTATGACTTTTCTTGCCGCTGTTAAGTGAATCGTTGCAATTGTTAAGTTAGTCACGCGGTTGTTAAGTGAATCTGGCTTTGCTTGTCGGAAGGTCACAAAAGCGGATCACGAGATCTTGGGACACTGCAACTGTCATAAATACGAATCAGTTGCCAAACGTCTGAATTGTGATCCCATGTCCAGGAGGAGGATGCTGCAACGGTCGTAAAGTGTGAAAAACGGTCCTAAGTCACTTTTTTCAGTGCTGTCCTAACTTTGGTCACTAAATGAACTGCTGCAAGTTGAGGACTACCTGTACTGGGAGAGGAAGGGCGGGATTGTAGAATAGAATACTAAATTTAGATAGGTGTGGTTAGACACACAAGGAATTTATCTCTGGTACAGAAGCATTGGAAAAAATAATAAGAGAAAATAAATAATAGTTACAAAAAGAGAGAGAAAAATCTGTATTCACCTGCAGCTTCTCACCTGCCTGTAAAATATTTGTGGTTTTTTTTTTAATGAAAAAGGAGGAAGGAGAGGTGAAAAACCCCAGGTTCCGCCCCCGCTGCAGCTCTCAACTGGGTCTACGAAATTTAAATGCCCCCTGCTTATCCATCGTCTGGTTTCGCCATCCACACTCCTCTCTGTGCCGTAAAAGCAAATACAAGTCGTGATTTAAAAACGATAAAAAAACAAATCCACCCACAACTCCAGAGAGAGAGAGAGAGAGAACGTGGGTGTGAGAAAGGCCAACCACCACCGAACCAGGCAGATTAGACAAGTTTTGCAAAAGGTCGAAGAGAAAATAGTTCCACCTGCTGTTGGGAGGGAGGTGTGTTTTTTTTTTTTTGCTAGAAATTATTCCAAGAATAATTCCTCTTGAGAGTTGCTCCTGGAAAGAGGGCTGTGTGTAAACACTGTCGTCTTGTTTAAGGGCTCTTTTTTTGAGCAACTTTTCTTTTGAGCCAGTGGCTTTTCTGGCTGAAAAGGGGGAGAACATGTGAAATTCAGGTTTTGCTTGGGGGGAATTTAAGCCTTCCGCATGGTGAGTGCACATACATTTCCTTGTGCAGGCTAGGCCAATTTCTTAACTGCTTCTCCATTGATTAGACAGGAAGTTGCACAGAATTGGCAACAGAGGATAAAAGATTTTTCAACCGTGGCCACTTTAAACGGGGTGGACTTCAACTCCCATAATTCCCCAGCCAGGAACTCTGGGAGTTGGAAATCCACAAGGCTTAAAGTGACAAAGGTTCAGTAACTGCCATACGGTAGACCAGGGGTCTTCAAACTTGACAGCTTTAAGACTTGTGGACTTCAACACCCAGAATTCAACCTCCAGTCATGTTAACTCAGGAATTCTGGGAGTTGAAGTCCACAAGTCTTAAACTTGCCAAGCTTGAAGACCCTTGTGGTAGACCAAGATCCAAACCATGAAATTATCTATAAAAGCTTTTAAAAGCCTTGGGTTAGGAATCAAGAGCTTTAAGGGCATGCCATGCACGGACTAGTCTGCATATCTGAAAATGAAAGGCCCCTTGGATTAATCCCTTGAAAATCAGCTTTATCTGCTGGTGATGGGCTGATCAATATACCCAGTGACAGATTATACTAGAAGATGCTCCATCCATGAGTCTTTCGGCTCTGGACCTCTCCTTGGATACATTTGCCCCAGAGATGGGTGATGGGTATTGTCATAGATGACATTGTTGTATAATTTAAACCAAGGTTTGTCATGTTTTTTTCCAATTTTTAAGCTTCAAGGACACATTTCTACAGTAGTATTCCAGTTCTTCATTTGCTTGAAAACACTCTTGTTACTGATATGAGTTGTTTGTACAACCTTGGAAAAGGGATAATATAAACCCCTCCTGAATAATAAAAGGACAAATAAGGCAAGCCTGCCAGGAATTCACATCATTGCTGGGTTTTTTTAACAACACACACACACAAAATACCATTGCTGTTCAAGTTTTCATTTGTCTTTTCTTCAATTTTTGCCTGGTCCAATAAATCTAATTGCCCAGTTACAGACCTTATATAGCTGGCAAGTTTATTTTACTATACTTGCCTGCCCTGTTGAGATAGCTCATATTAATGCTTTTAATTGCACACCTCTGATAGGCCAGTCCACATCCAACTTTTAATATTGAGAAATTCGGAGGGGAATAACATAGGATTATGAAGTTGTTCTAACCATTTTTTCTGCCTATTGAGATGCACTCATTTACACATTTATCCAAATTGTGTCAAACCCAAATAGCAAAAGGCACCCAGGGCAGGTTACACCAGCCCTTCTTGCAAAGCTGTGTTATCTTCTTTGACAAGTAAAAGCCCATCTTTGTGTTTATTCCAAGCCTTGCCCATCTAAAATGGCAGCTACAGTGGATTATGGATCTGTAGTTCGCTATTACAGGGCCTCCAGTTAAAAAAGGAGTTACAATCATTTTTTTTTGTTGTTCTCTTGCACTGCTGAGGGAAATCAACTTTCACATTAACCACAAAGGAGACAAGGGAACTGAGACAACTACTGGTAAGCATAGTGCATGAAGAAAAGCAGTTATTCTTGGGGGAAAAAAAGTTTAATGTTTGATTTTATCCTGCACTGTTTATTCAATCTATTATCAGATGGTGGTGTTACTTTTCCAAGGGTATCAGTTTACAGCTCTGAAGCTTCAGGAAACTACCCAGCCTCAAAATCTGTAAGAGGATGAAGTAATAAAAGAATGTTGCTTATAAAATATTTGCAACTCGGGATTGAGCAGTGGGGCCCTTGGTGCTGTCAGCTTGGTTGCTTTTGCTACCCAGTATCACTAGTGTTGGATCTGCAAGAAAGCAAACAAGATCAGAAAACATCAAGGACGCCCAATGTGTGTTCCCTTTTAAAACAGGCAAATTATCTGGTGCACGTTCAGAATGCAGTTTATTCCATGGCAGAATCCCAAAGCTAAAGCAACTCTCTTCACTCGAAATATCATTTTCGGTCCTTGAGCTTGGGAAAAAAAAAAGGGCTGCCAAGTTAAAGAGATTCAGCGCTTTCTTTCATTTCCCCATTTAGCTTCCATTAAAAAGTGGGAATGAAAGCTGTCCTTTGGCCTTTTAGTAAATGTTGTGACTCGAAAAGAAGGGCTGCTAGTCCTAGTTTCTTGCCACTGCAGACCCAATGTACTCTTTTCCTCTTTTGAATTGAATTGGCATCCTTCAGTCTATGGTATCGTGCTATGAAACCGGTAACTGCCACTTCCCGCGTTGTTTCCATGCTGTGTGCAAAGCTGGAGGGTCCTCTCCAGAGGCCTGGGTAATTTAATAAGGATAAACTGTTACTCAAGCAGCAGATTCCCCGCCCCAACCCCCCCCAAAACAACTTTTTTAATACATGCTTTAATGTGCCTCTACCCGAAAGTTGGAAGCGAGCATTTCCGGATGCAGAGTTTCCTTTAAAAACTCATCACAGTGACACCGAAACTGTGGTGAACTGAATTTATTTAGTGTGATAACACAGTTGCAGTCTGACAGTCAATATTCATATATCAAGAGTCACTTAGTTGGCTAACAGCTAGGAGACAGCAGACCCCGAGACACACACTCAAGTATTATACACAATCACAGAGAAGGCAAGGGGAAGGCGAACAGTGTTGTTCACAAGGTTATTTTCCCCCAAACTGCCATCCCGATCCACAAACATGTAAGCTTTTTTTCCCTATTTTTTCTTTATATTTTCTTCTTTTTTTTTTTAAATCCCTAATCTCCAGAGAGAGTAGTTTTCCAGTGCATCTTCAAAGAACACCACGACAACAGTGGCCAGAGGAGAAAGGGAAGAAGAGAGAGCAGCAGCCCCAGTTAACTGTGGAGAAAGGAACAGACACGTGACAAGGACACTGCCAATTCCCACACAAGAGGGAGTATATATCTTTCTCTAGATCTATATATAGTTATCTACACAGGTTGGGAACGGGCCTTTTGCAAAAGGGGGTGGTGGTGGTGGTGGTGGGGTGTTTAGCTTTTGAAATCCAGGGAGCCAAGCTCTGCAAAGCTGGCTGATTCTGAAAGAGAGAAAGAGAGACACGCGGGCTACCTGGGTTCAGATAAAAGGCATGTGAGAAGATGCCAGAGAAGCTTTGCACGCATCGAAGAAGGGAACCGATTCTCTCGGCAGCCTGATACGGTGTGGCCAACATTTGGAAGAGGTCACAGTGGTGCTTTTTAAGAACCGGAAATAATTCAACGCGCTCCCTTCTTCAAAGATTTCAAGGCTGCAGGCTGCTGAGCAGAAACCTTCCAAGGCAGCAAGCAGGAATCTTGAAGCCTCGGTGCCAGGAGGCTGAGGGGCTGGGCCTAACAAGCACCAATTTCTAAATGCAAGTAGACCTAGGTCTGATTTCTTCCCCCAATTCCCCCCCCAAAAGAGGATGGAGCGTCGATGGAGATCCTCAGTGATCCAGGTCACGGGGTTGTCTCAAAGGGGCTTTTTCAAGCGGCAACTGGACTATGTTTTTTTTTCTTGGAGGAAGACGACGTTTCACTTCTCATCCAAGAAGCGTCCTCAGTTCTGAGTCAGAACTGAGGAAGCTTCTCAGATGAGTAGTGTAATGTCTTCTTCCCTCAAGGGGAAAAAAATAACATAGTCCAGTTGCCCCCTTTGTGACAAGAGGACAGAGTGCTGGGAGAGAGTGACGTGCAGACGTCCAATACATATATTCTGCATGACTGTTGTTCTCCTTTATGCAGGAGGCTCCTAAATTGGGGAATATCAGCAAAACACCAAAGGGCTAAAGAAAAGCCACCAACATCCTACAGTGCTGACAAACCGAAACCTTATTGGCTCATCTCTATGGAAAACGTGGTTTCTGAAGCAAGAAACTGGGTTTGAGCCTCCTTCGAGTATTTTATGACGTATCTTGCAGATACTGTGGCTGCATCAAGTACCGCTTGGGTAAAGATTAGCATCCTTTGATGGAAAGCGTTTCCCGTTTGGTGGTTTCCTGTGAACTTACGGGAAAGACTCAACTGCCCTGCCCAGGACTCTGACAGAAGACTTGGCAAATGGGTGAGGCCGGGGAGGAGGAGGAGGAGGCCATTTTAGACAAAGAAGAAGAAGAAAGATCATTTGCAGCTCAGCCCCCGTGAAAGAATCACATGCCAGACATCGAACCCGGAGGGCGTGTTTTGGGCAAGGTAGACCAAAGAAACCCTCAAGATGGGGAAAAGGAAATGCTTATGCTGGGTCGAGAGGCAGAACTCATTTTGGATGAGGTTTCTGGTTCTAATCCCCAAATTCTTCCAGAAGAGGATGAAAAGTGACTTTGGTTCCAGGTGAGCTCAGCAGAAAAAGTGAGAAAAACCACAGAAGACTACATCTTGTGTTACTATCCTTCCACCACAAATCACGTCAAAAGAAAATGGTTAATATCACCTTATCATCCTCAACCTTGATGAGTTATATACTTTGCATCACCTTATCACCCAGTCATAAAATTGCAGGCGCAGGTATCTTTCTAAACTATACTCAAAAGCAAGCACAACACAACAGGAACCATTCTCCAGAGCACTGTTTCAATGGGTCAGATTGCAACTCCCATAATCCTTTGTTTCAAATGACAAACCCCAGCATTTTTCAGCCTATACCAGTGTTTCTCAAGCTCAGAGAAGTTAAGATGCGTGGACTTCAGTTCCCAGAATTCCCCAGCCAGCTGGCTGGGAAATTCTGGGAGTTGAAGTCCACATACCTGAAACTTCTCAAGGTTAAGAAATACTGGCCTATACTGCCAGTAGTCAGGTGGATTAGCAATTCAAGAGCTGTAACTTAGGAAGTCTGATCTACAGGAGGACAATCACACAGAGACAAACAAAACATGTTATTCAAATATCATCAGAAAATATTATCCAGTTCATGCCAACTTCTACCTGTCTTCCTGTGTTAGTTTGCATGCTAGTGCAACTTGCATTCAGTCAAAGAGCAGATACCTGAAAATAAATTCTGTGCTAAATCAGAAGCTCAGGAAATCTACGCAAACCTCTAAATTTTTTTTTAAATACGTACAATATTCTTTGTAGAACCAGCAGACATCTGACAAGGATTAGCATTTCTTCCACTGTACACGAAATAAAAACGAACAACTCCATGTTTAACTAGATATCTATGTTTTGAAGGCCAGAATAAAGGAGTGGATTAAAGACCCAGAATTCAGAAAAAGGACCTTCCAATAGTGAGACTCTACAGCAATCTATGGGATCTCTCCCCAACCTAACACGTTCCAAGTTTGCAAATTCTGGGCCTTAGTGACTAGGAATATAGAAAGAGTACTTTGGCGCATCTATAGGTTGGAGAAGACTGATGCAGAGACATAATTCAAAATGACAAACCAAGGAACGAAGCAAAAAGTGGAGGCAGTTGTAAAGCACTTTGCATAATTCAAATGAGTCGTGAGTGATGAATTATTTAAAAATAGCAGCTCCTGGCATTGGTCTGAGCCTAAGAGAAGTCTCTGTTTAATCCAGCTACTCTCCACTTCAGAACTCATGAAGAACAAGATTTTTTTATTTTTATGGAGAGTTATCAAGAGGAGAGAGCAGGGTGGAATAAACTGCTGGAGAATATGCGTCCTCCATTTTGGAAACTCGCAACTCAGCACTATGCAGGAACCAGGTTTCCCACATAAGGACTCAGAACCCTTCACCCAATCGGTCCATTTCTGCCTACCATCTCTGTACATATCCAGCAACAGACGATGCCGGGGTGGGGTGGGGGAGAGAGAGGAGAAATAAAACAGTCCACCTGGGATAAAAGATACGGAAGATAATCTAGGAAGAGAGAGAGAGAACGTCATGTCAACCCTCTCTGAGGTGTTCCTTTCTGCCTTAGCACCATCCGTGAGGAAAGAAAAACAGGACAGGTTTCTTCTTGCTACCAGTGAAGACTTACCCAAATGTGCAAGTGAATAAAAAGCAGCGGTAGAAAGGATTTTGTTTGTTGTTTTGAAAAAAGGAGGGAGGTGGAGAAAGGAAGAATGCCTTAGTTCCTTTATGGTAAGTTTATCAATATTGGGTTTTTTGTTTTGTTTTTTAAAGATGGACAAAGTTCCTCCCTTGCACATTCATAGGACAACCCGGCAAGGAAACCTAGCAAAAAAAAAAAAAAAAGTGCCACAGCAGCACCAAAGTGCAACAACCAACGAAGGGCAAGAGGCATTGGAGGGTTCACACCATGCAGTAAACGGGAGCGACTGGGGCTGCCCACACGACGCGGGAGGAGGGGGTGGGGAGGGAGGAGGAAGAGGAGGCGGGATGACTCCAATCGCCTAGTAGTGGCCTTCTCGGGCCCTTGGAAAAGTCGTGTTTTGGTAGTCAGTAAGAAGTGGAGCTCTTCAGTGAGAGACTGAACTGGCTAACTGGGAAGGGGGGGCTGCCACGCTGGAGAACATTTAACAAGAACAGCCATTCTCCGTCACAGGCTGCTCAGGAGGTTTCTCTAATTTGATGTCAATCACTGTGGAGAAGAGGTTAAGGGAAACATGTCTCTATGGTGGGAGAACAAGCTGAACACACACACACACACACACACACACACACACACCAAATAGATCTCTTTGATCCAATGAAGCCCATCAAATGAGATTGAGCCATGGTGGCGCAATGGTTAGAGGGCAGTACTGCAGGCTACTTCTGCTGACTGCCGTCTGACTGCAATTTGGCAGATCGAATCCCACCAAGGCTCCAGGTTGACTCAGCCTTCCGTCCTTCCAGGGTGGATAATACGAGGACCCAAAATTGTTGGGGGCAATAGGCTGACTCTGTAAAACTACTTAGAGAGGGCTATAAAGAACTGTGAAGTGGTATGTAAGTCTAAGTGCTATTGAGGGACCCAGTCCTTGTCTTTCCCACTGGCATTTACCCAAATGAAAATGAAAACTGGGCCACCTTGAAACGATCTTTTGGAAATACTAACTTCTGAAGGGTCCTTGGTGCTCTCTGAGCATTTGTTTTCTTGCAGATGTTTCACTACCCAACTAGGTAATATCATCAATACTAGAAGAGAGAGGGTTTGCTGAGAGGACGAGGACGACTGTGGGGTCCTTGGTGCTCTCTGAGCTTGGTTGTTTTCTTATGTTTCGTTATCAAAACCAGGTATCATGATAGCACTGAGGATGTTACCTAGTTTGTCTGCACATGAAATGTCTGCACTAAAACAACCAAGCACAGAGCACCAAGGACGCCTCATTTCGATCCTGAGCTACAAATATCCTCCTTTACTGAATTATACAACCTACTTTTTACCACCCCAGTTAAACACACTGTGTGACTATTGGCTCAAGCTTGGCATAAGGCAGGTTTTCATGTTATTAGGAAGAATGTTGTTTTGCAAGAAAACAACCAACCAGAGAGAGCAGAAAGACCTTCTTAAAGCAGGGATCCATAAACTTTTTGATTCTGCAGACTGGCAGCAGCAGCAGTGGCTTCGGCGGTTTCAGCAGCGACAGTGTGGGAAATGGTTTCACACGTGCAACCTAAATCCTGCGCATATGAAACTTCACATGCTTGCCTACTGCTTTGGCGGCTTGGTTCCCAATGGGTTGTGGTACAGTAGTGGTCCGTGGCCCGGGCATTGGGGACCCCTGTTCTAAAGAGGTAAACTGCCCCAACTCTACTTCCAGAAGTAATAGGTTGGACCTTAACAACCTTTCAATGTCCTTTTGGATGCATGCAGAATTGACAGTCTGAAGGTTAGTTAAGATGGCAAATTGCTTGACCTTTGCAATTTGCCTGTAAGATCACCGATGGACGGGGAAAAGAACCAGCTAGATTCATGCTCAGAAAAAGTTTGTAAATGCAGGACAAAACTCAGCGGGGTAAGGATACTGTCATCTTTGCTTTTCTCTGGAGCGTTGTCCATCCCAGGTAACGCAGCAGCAACACGGCGGAAAAGCTGAAAGACAACATCCCAAACTTTGTGAACACAGTGCCTGTTAGTGGAATATGAAGTCTACTCCCATGAGAATAGACGTAAAAGAAGAACTAAAATCCAAGGAAATAAAAGCACTTCAGCAGTTAGCATGAAAGGCCCTTAAACCAGGAGTGACATTGCAGCCGCTCTTTTTTAAAGGTACTAAAAACGAAACATTAATATAAGCTGGAAAAGCTCATCTTGTAGAAGACTTGGGTGTTAAGCAAAGGAAGCCCACATTTGCTAAGGAGGGGCTCTCAAACAGGATGGAACGATTTCTGTTGAAACCTGCAGTTAGAATTACCTGCTTCACGTTGTAGCCCGTCTTCGCACTAGTCTCAATGAACATCACGCTTAGTTCTTTGGCTCTCTGTTCACCTTCTTCCGTAGTAATCTGCCTGCAGAGTAAGAAACAAGACTTTTGAGGTCTTTGCAACCAGCCTGCCAAAGGCATAAACGAAGTTTCCCAAGAAGGCTTTTAAAATTAGGTCAAAGGGGCATGTGGGCAAATTAAATTCATCAGACCTATAGTAATGGAAACATATGTTTGTTCATTTCTATGTCCCACTAAATCAAAGCTCTAAGGAATGAATGCTAGCCAATGGCACTGGCTAAAGCTATTTTTGTTCCCTGGAAGGGACTGCAAAAAAAAACCCCAGAATGATTTAATAGCTTTTGCTGGGCCGAGTTCCATATTGCCTAAGAGGTTATCTTGCAGCTCTGTAGGAATTAACAAGCTGTCAGCAAGTTCACCTCTAACAAGTTGTACATATCCAATTCTATACTAAATCCAACTTTTATTGTTGGTTTATTCTATTAAGTTGTTATGCCTTTTGTAAGCCCTCTTCTGCAGAAATGTAAAGGAAAATTAACCAATGCGTGGGGATTCTAAGAGTTGCAGTGGCACAATAGTTAAGAATGCAGGCTACTTCTGCTGATCACTGGCTGCCAGCAGTTTGGATCTCACCAGGCTCAAGGCCGACTCAGCCTCCCATCCTTCCAAGGTTGGTAAAATGAGGACCCAGATTATTGGGGGCAAGGCTGTAAACCGCTTAGAGAGGGCTGTAAAGCACTGGGAAATGGTATGTAAGTCTAAGTGCTACTGCTATTCTTTCTTACAACAGTTCGGACCCAATTACTTGATTTCCTATTGCATTCCTATACAATTTGACCCATGCTGTACAAGATGTCTACCAAAGGCACATTCTTAATGGGTCTTGTCTGATTTCTTCTCCTCCTCCTCCTCCTCCTCCGTCTTCCCCATCGTCATCATCATCTTTTAACCACCCCATAAGTCTGGGCAACTGAATGGAGCTAGATAATTTTTACTGGCCGGATGCCCTTCCTGTCACCAACGGGGAACAGATATATTCTCACTGTGCCCAGAGACAGAAATAGCTGCCTCTACCTAGGATCGAACTCATAGCCTCCTGGTTGTGAGGTGAGAGCTCCACCTCTAGGCCACCGCACCACTGGTCTGATTTCTTGACTATAAGAAATTCATTTCACTTGCTTTGTGGTGGTACCTACATTGTGAAATAATGTGCCATGAAAATGGAAGCCACCATTCAAAACATTTCCGTAAATCTTTTAATGCATCCATCAAACGGAACCTTTCTAGCAATAGGTCCTTTGACTGGCCTGTTTCCCTGTTGGCTGGTAGTTATTTAAAAACAATGGCCATAAAACCCAACACTTTGCATTCTTTAAAGATAATCAGCAGAACACAGTCAAAAAATAATAAATGTATTACTCTGGGAGAATTCCAGCCAACTCCACTATTCCAGGAGCTCAATTCTGGGGTGCAAAAATAAGGTTATAGTTTAAGCGGCTTCCAGTGAATAAGAGTTTGTGCAAGATCAACAGAGAGGTTACTCCGCTGAATACCAATTAACAAGAAACTAAGCACACAACACGGAATGACCCTGTGAGGGTTTTACTGTGCTGTGACCAGGAATTTCTCTTTCTGCATTCACAGAACAGAGCTTGAGAACAGGGTGGGACAGACCTATCACATCACCTCCAGTATAAACTCTAACATAAGAGAGATGAAAAGATGCACAGCAAGGGAACAATTGATCCTGCTTTTCCAACAGATAGGATAGCTTAAGGGAAAGAAGCAAGGCCTTCTGCCTCACTGTAGCTCTCAGCAGCAGCTACATCCCGTCTCTTCATCAGCCTCTTCTTGCTTTTCTTACGTGCCATGAATTTTGCATTACATGCTGGAAGGAATTTAAAACTGATCTATATAAGCCTCCGTGGGAGTTTTATTGGTGGAAGAATAAGGCAAACACACTCAAAGAGTTAGATGTGAAAAATAGGAATGATACTAAGGTCCTTGAATAATATTTTTGTGCTGGTAGAGTACGCTGCAAGAATTGGATTTTTTTTTTTAAAAAAAACTATCTTAGAGTTAAAAAGAAATAAATCACTACAGCATCAACTCTGGTATTGCCAGATCCTTTGCAATATTTAATTTTGCTCTTTTGACGAAGAGGGAAATACTTTTTCTGCATGCCAAATAGTAGAGAATCTGTGGTCTTCTAGGCACTGCTGTGGTAGAACAGTGACTAGAACGCAGTAGGGCAGGGTAACTCTGCTCATTGCCAGGAGTTCGATTCTCACCATTTCACGGTTGACTCAGCCTTCCATCCTTCTGAGGTGGGTAAAATGAGGACCCAGATGGTTGGGAGCAAAAGCTGACTGTGTAAACTGCTTGGAGAGCGCTGGGAAGCATTATGAAGCATTAAGTGCTATTCCAATATACTCCCAACAGACTCAAACTCATACCCAAGAGGAAAAACGGTGGGAATTCAGCAGCTTCTGGATGGATGCAACTTCTTTGGCTCTTCCAAGTATTAGCCAGACATTTTTCTAGCACGTCGTCCCCTTCCCCCACAAAACATTCTCTTTTCAAACTCTACAATTACCTTTTATCTGCAAGGTCAGTTTTATTGCCCACCAGCATAATGATGACATCACTTCCTCTTTCTGTTCGCACATCGTCGATCCATTTGGAGGTTTGCTGGAAGGAATTCAGATCTGCAAGGAGAAGGTAGCTCAATGCACTACAGTCAAGTCAAAGAACAATATAATACCTACAGAATATTAAGACCCACAGAAGCGGCTTCCTCCTAGCTCACCAGCCCGTCTCACTCGATCAGGCAGGGAAGGTATGCTACAGACCCCGCCAGTCAAAGGTTTTCTAGAGCCTTCTCTGCCGCCGTCCCCACTTTGTGCAACATCTTGTTCTCCAGGTGAGGAAACCCCCCCCCCCCCATCTCTTGGCTTTTCACAAAGCGGTCAACCCTTCATTCTGCAGACTTGTGAGGGCACAGAAGACCTCGCAACAGTGGGGCTGGCTAGTCTCTTGAAAGCCCCAGCCCCGCGCCTGTAATAATCCAATGTTAAATGGCCATTTTACGATTTCCCCCTTTTGATGTTTGTCACTATTCTATAATTTTGAACAGCTTAACTCTAATTTTTAATTTCTAATGTTAATTTTTATGCATTGTTTTATTTACTGGTTATATTATATTGTACACTGCCCAGAGTCCCTCTTGGAGGGTTAGAAATATGACGTATAAACAAACAAACAAACAAAGGCAGCTTCAGGATAATTCTTTGCCTGGGGCAAAAGGCACTAGGGCCTTCTGTTTGTCAGCATGGCATCACCTGAACTGAGCCCCACTGAGCCTTCATGGATGACTCAGGGCTTCTGGGCTCGGATTTCTTCTAGAACAAAATGTTTCGGTATACCATGACACAAATCTCTCACTCACTTGTAATGTCATAGACTACCACTGCAATAGTTGAGTCACGTATGTAGCTGGGAATGAGGCTACGGAACCGTTCCTGGCCTGCTGTGTCCCAAAGCTGAAGTCGGACCTGCTGGGAGCAGCCCAGGGAATAAAACAGAAAGAGACAAGGCAGAAGAAGAAAAAAGAAAGAAAATGTCCTTTAGAGAAAAGGCAGTGCATTAGAAGGAATTCTATAGAATTGCATACAAATATCTCATCAGAAAATGCAGTATGGGCATTAAAAGTACAGAAAAATTACACATCACAAATTACTGGTCTCTAATAAATTTATTCCAAAAACTCTCCATCAAGACAAACGAGAATGCCAGTGGTGCAGATTAAGATTAATTACAGAGTCACGGGCTACTTTATCTTGGCATACTATAAAACAATGGGAGGTGGGCATGAAAAAAACTTTCCTTCAAAAAATCATTATTTCCGAGATAGAAAATCTATTTCATCTGGGTTGAAAGTAACACTGTAGGACTGCATGTTCGATTCGCTAGAAATCTGACAGATTCATTGAAGTTAACCTTCCCTTTTTGAGCATGCAATAGAGAAAATGTTTCTTCCTGTAAAATACACAATACCGCATACTTCTGTGATAATGGTAAGAGAACCAGACAAAGAAAATCCCTGCTCAGCCTTAAAGACTTCTGAGTGAAAAAAGTATGATATAGCCTTACTCATTCCAAGGTGCACATTTAATAAATAATTTAAAACCTCAGCTGAAGCACTAAGAGCCGGGAGACCCAGAAGTTAGAATGCCTGTGTGATGTGTGTAATTTGACTTAGTACAAACAAATTCATTTCAACTTAAGAGAAACCATGAATGAAATTGTATTTTCTATTTCAGTTTTAACTATGTTGTTGGCCTGATATACTTGACAATGAGAACAAAAAAAAAACCTCTTAGCTGAACCTGCAAATGAAGATCATCCCAGTTATTACTCAAGCGGATAGTTTCATTTGAGAGCCAAGTACTATCACTGGCTGAAAATATTACTGCTGTTTCCAAAACACAACCAATATGATTCATGAAGCATGGGAAAGAATATTATGCGGCTATATGGGGCCACTAGATAAGTATTTACAGGGGGTCCTCGTTTAACAACCACTCATTTAATGACTAAACTTCTTACAGCACTGAACAATGTTACATCAACCACAGTGTGTCCCTTATGTCATGTGATCACAATCCGGGTGTTCAGCATCAGCCTCCCAATTACAACACTGCAGTGCCCCACGGCCACCAGTAAGGACTGAACTATAACTGGAGGTAAGAAAAAATATGCCTGCCAGATGGTCACCTGCTCTACTCAGAACAAGAGTTGGAAGGGACCTTGGAGGTCTTCTAGTCCAACCCCCCGCTCAAGCAGGAGACCCTATACCATTTCAGTCAGGTGGCTATGCAGTTTCTTTTTAAAAGCCTCTTCTTAAACCAGTACACATTCATCAAGGCAAGCCCCAAATCAAGAATGGCTGACATAATAATTTATCTTTTTAATATGAATTACTGGTACACAAGTGAATGACTTTAAAAACCGGCCCAAACTTCGGTACCTGCTTTTTGTTAAGTTTGTCTATTGCCCAAACCACAAAACAGACTCCCATCTAATTGTATAATTACTAAATATTATAATGGGAATTGGGGAAATGTAGAAAAACAAAGGGAATTATTTAGTAGTGGAAGCAACTCAGCACAGATGCTGCAGTGGGAATTAAGAGATGAAATATTTGCTTGCACAACAACCTAAGATAAGAATAATGACACTTATTTGTTACCATAATCTTTTGTTTCCGGTAAAAATAGAAGGTTAATGGATCTGTTCTGGAGAAAAGGAAAATTAGCTGCAATACACTAACTTATCAGTCAGGGAACTGGGATCCTATTATGTGGGATCACTGCAAAAAACTGTACTGTGGGATATCTCTAGTGGGAGATCTTATGCCAATATGATCAATGCTCAAGAGAAAGGTATATCCCACCAAGTCTTCCAGTAACACCCATTTTCCAGGGAGCCTTAAATATAAAACAGGAATATTTTCAACACACATGCTTCTTTGCCAACATTTTCCCCATTTCTACATTTTCTAAGAAAAAATATATGTCTCCTTAAGCATGGTCTACAATGATAACCAACAGATTTTTTTTTTTGAATATTTATAGGAACGATAAAAATTAAAAAGCACTATACATGGTGAGGAGCTATCTTGTTAAGACTGCTCTGACTTGATAATGATGGGAGAGAAAAAAAAAAAAAGGATTGCCTCTGAAGACCTTCCAGAGCCAGTAGCCATCTTCTTCCTCAAATAAGAATCAATCTGTACGAACCATTATTTTCATCAATTTTTTACATTTTCAAGGTGAGCTTATTAATTACATAAGAGTTTTGGAGGGGGTGCAGCAGCTTCAAGGCAGCGTTTTCTGGCAAGATTTTTGAAGTGATTTTCCATTGTCATTCTAGGCTGAAAGAGAGTGACTAGACGAAGTCACTCAGCTGGTTTGGTGATTCAGGAGTTAAAATTCACTGTCTTCCCATTTTTGGCTCTGTGCATTAACTATATTAGGTTGACTCTTGCCTGTCTAATAGTTTAAAAGTGTAACTTTAAATTGAATTTTATAGGATTATGGGAGCCCCTGTGGCAGAGTGGTTAGAATGCGGGATATTGAAGGTTAACTCTGCCCACAGCCTTTGACCGGCTCAAGGTTGACTCAGCCTTCCATCCTTCCGAGGTTGTAACATGAGGACCCAGATTGTTGGGGGCAAGAGGCTGACTCTATAAACCGCTCAGAGAGGGCTGTGAAGCACTGTGAAGCGCTATACAAATCCAGGTGCTATTGCTATTATTAGTAAAAGTGTATGTAGAAACAACTGTTTTGTCAATCTGTGCCTTCCGTGGGTGTAGGGTGTGTCACTGCTTGGACTTCCCACATTATATGTCTAACATTCTTGCTGGACTTTATGCTCTGTGTTGATTTTTAACCATGTTATTGTAGTTTGGTCGTGGCGAATCAATACGAAATGCTTGCACCTACTGCTGTTCATCTTTTAACGGCTTTCTTCAAATTGTTAAAGGGGACTAACTGCTTTAAATTAGTAGAAGTATCAAAATATTCCAGGTTCTAGATCACTTAGAATGACTTCTGGAATAGGCAGAAGGATCTGAGGTGAAATGGAGTAGCCTGAGCTCATAACTTTCAGTTAACAAAATGTTCTTCTGCCCTACAACAAACTTATTAGTTTTCTTTCTGAAATTCTCAAGTTAGCATGAACTGCTCTAAAAACAGCTTTTAATGAAGGGTGAATCAAAATATATGAGCAAATAAAGGGGAGAATATACAGGGAAAAAATATTAAGATGCGTACAGAATTGTCAACAGCAGAGGAATAAAAGAAAACAATTCAGCTTTCAAATAAAGTCAATCAAAATGTCAAAGCTAACTATTTCCACCCAATCCTTGGGAGAATAGATGTTTTCTTCTGAACAGGTAGTCCTTGACTGACAATGTTTTGTGATCATTAAAAGTTACAATGGCGGTGAAAAAAAGTGACTTATGACCATTTTTCACACGTTGTAGCATCCCTGTGGTCATGTGACCAAAATTTGGATGCGTGGCAACCGACTCATAGTTAAGGCGGTTGCAGTGTCCCAGGGCCATGTTATTACTTCTTGCGACCTTCTGCCAAGCAAAGTCAATGGGGAAACCTGTTTCACTTAACTGTCTTACTTTTACAACTGTAGTGATTCAAGAAAGTAAAATGGGGGTGAAACTCACTTAAAACAACTGTCTCACTTAGCTAGAAAAATAATTGGGCTCAATTGTGCCCGTAAGTCAAGGACTACCTGGTAATTTGTGGAGTTATTAAACAAAAATTATGAGTTATACAGGGGTATATTCAAAAGCAGGAGAGGAACTCAATGAGAAGAGTTAGCCTTTGTCTTAGCTCTTCCTTAGGGAACAGACTTCATGTGCTCTGATCAAAGCTGGTGCCAACTTGTAAAGCATTCCTATGCCTGTTTCCAAGTTGCCATGAGAAAGATAAAATCCGAAGCACATTCCAAGCTTCTCTCACAAAGATTGTAACTTAGGAATCCGGGTATTCTGCCCATAAAAATCCTTTATTAGAGAATGTGAGTGATGGCACCCAGCCCATGAACGTGTTTAGTTGGAGAAGCTGAATTATGATACCCACCCAGGGGGGTGCGGGAAGGCAAGGTCATAGGTGATTGTAAATTACGTGTCTCAAGAGTCGGTCATGCCGGCATGTTGCTCCTAATAAATATTTTGAAGTTTTTTGAAGCTTGGCTCGAAGCTTAGGATTTAATTAGAATGATCGCCCGGAATCCTGACAGCTGGAATATACCATAGAATTCCAATAAGATATATCTCCTTCGGGAGGGATACAAAATCAATATGTCCAGAAGAGAAATGCTTATCTCATTATCCCTTCCAAACTAAAAAAATAAATAAAATAAAAGCCAGGCCTGCCCATTTATTCATGGCCACAGATTCTATTCAACTGCCTATCACGGCCTGCCTCTCTTTGGAGGGGTGAACGGAGTCCTGGCTGCTTCCTGAGAACGAGAACTCAGTTCTCCCCTCGATCAGAGCGAGGGGCCTGCTGCACTTAAACCTCAATACCTACTTGTCAGGTCAAAGACAATGACAGCCTCAGCAGAGTCCCGGAGGTAGCTGGGAATGAGGCTGCGGAATCTCCCCTGGCCCACAGCGGCAGCCTGATCTGGGAAAAGAGAAAATGTGGGGGGGAAAGGGTGGAGAGGAGGAAAGAGAAGAGCAGGAATATGGACAAAAAAATAATAATAAAGCAAAACGCATGTGAAATTAAAAAAAATGACACACTCGAAAGAAACAATGCAAATAAATAAGAGGGAAGTTAAAATGAAACTAAAATGCAGCGTAAAACTAAAAATGAAAACTCATGGTTTTTTTTCTAAATAAGCAAATAAAAAAAGCTTTTGTCATCCATTTCTCCAGATGGAACTCTTTGTGAAAGACCTGGTAGCCTTTATTTTCCCAGCCCATAATAATTCCGTTAACCATTTGGCTTGAACCTTCTACTATTGTCTTTCCTTAAACTTTATTCCAGGTTCAGGAACTGCAAGTTCCTCGAGGCTATAATGGAATTGCTTCTGCTGCGCAACTTCTATCCTGGTTCTACTGTGCTAAGCAAGTCAATAATGAGGACAAAACTCATCACCCACAGACAAGAGACACTCCATGAGAAAAGCAGCTATTCATCCTACAGTCAGTCAGGAAGTGATACTTCAACATATCTGCAATCACTGAGTTGGTGGATGGAGGCTACTGTTGACCATCCAAAATATCAATTGTAAAAAAATCTATTGGTCAGGACGACAACTTAAGATAAGAATGATCTTGCCCTGTAAAGTTGAATTACTCCATGTATGATTGTGTAAAATCTGTTCTGGTTAAGATGAAAACTCATCCCAAAACACAATGTTTCCTTTAAAATTAAAACAACAACAACCGAAGTAATATTCAAAGTATGGCTTCTTCAGACCAAGTAACAGGTAACCTGAGTAAAACAAGGGCAATCTGACCTCGTAGATGAGTATCTGGACAAAGAGATCCAGGTTCGTACCCTTGGTCAGGCATCCTATTTGCTGCATTCTCAATCTAGGCTTCATCCATAGGGATAGTTGGCGTTCAGAAGTTTTTTTGCATTACTGTTAAGAACAGGTTGGTAGATTGGTCTCCCTCAAGCTGTCAAAATCAGCACACAGGCCTGTCCACCAGACAGAATAAAAGGCAGTGCCATGAGGCTGGAGAGCAAAATGACCTCTATTGTAGCTAGTCTGATTTGCAAGCTTAATAGAATCTGATCTAAGGCATGGATATCTTACACATGTGCTCTCTCTCCTCCTTAAAAAGAGTACCTTACTAACCCCTTAAAGGAGGTTCAGAACATCAGGTCTGCAATCTGGACCAATAATAAAGCAATAAAATTGCCATACCCAGCTGCCAGTATCCAATCACAGATTGTAAAATGGGAGTGTCAATGAAATATATTCAATCTGCCAATTCCTTCTTCCTATAGTCTGGGGAAAAGGTTATTTTGAAACCATGTTTATTTTGTGGAAACCTTCATAAAATGATAACTGAACTGAAGGTGGTCATGGTTTCCAGAGGATTCAACCATTTACAAAACAAATTATTTACCTCCTATGCTGTGCTTAGTAGGTCTTTCTTGGGGCACATTACATTGAAAGATATCCAGGCCAAAGTTGGAAATCTAAGGGCAAATGTATTTATGGAATAAAAATGATTTCAATGTGCCATCTTCCATTTTTGAGAACTTCCAATGCTTTTAATGTAAAAGGCAATCAGGGGAGAAAACATAGCAGAGTTCAAGAATATCTATGGGCACACTGGTACCCCTAGATTTCCTCCTGGAGATCCAAGCCACAGATTATGTTGATGGGGAAAAGTACCACGGAATTGTGAAGAGAATCAGTAAAACTTAGAAGACAGATGAATCCACTTACCGTGCGGTCTTCTAAATACATAGTCTTTGAAAGGAAATCAATTCCAATGGTGGCCTGGAAAAATAAGAAAAGATTCACTTTTGAACCATAAAAAAACAATCTTTATTTTAAAAAAAGCACGCCAGGGAACATTAGGTTGGAAATCAGAGAATACTGAACACAAAATAATAATAGCATATGTAGTATTATTTTAAATCCAACTCACAGTTCATAAACTGTAACAGATTATTAAATATCTTTCCCGGATATTTAATAGATGAGTTTCGGCAATTTCTGGAACTACACTGAGATTTTAAACTAAAAGTGTTAAGGATTTGTGTGAGATTAAATTCTTTATTAATTGCATTAATTTCTGTTCTTATGCAGAGACTGAAAAATCTCTCCTGAAAAAGCAACCACAAACTACTTCTATGCTGTCCCAAAGGAACTACAGCAAATACACTTTGGTGCTGGGTAGACTCTCATAAAAGTACATACCTTAAAGAGTTTAAGAAACTGTACATGTGCTATTTGTATAAGACAGGATGCTCAAATAAATTCAGCTATGTTCTGACTTAGAACTTGGGGTCATTTTAGTGTTCAGTGACCATTCCATGTTATGATGGAGCTGAACAAGGAGACTTGTCTCTTAGAAGTTGCAGCTGATGCAGCATTCACTTGATCACACTCTCACAATTTGGACATTTGGAAACCATCTTGCAATTATGGCTATTGCAGTATCGCTTGCTTCTGACAACAGTCAAATGGAGAAACTGGCAGGAGGTTGCAAATGATGATCATACGGCATGGCAATTAATGATGTACAGAAGTTGCCTAATGGCAACTGAAACTTCCATTGTAAGTCGGCACAGTCAAGTGACATCATAAGCTATGACTGTGCGGCTTAACAACAGACTTCCTGATCCCAATTATCTTACTTAAGTGAGGGTTAGCTGTGAGGGCATAAAAGTTGTGTTTTGCAAGCTACATGAAGCTTGAAAGCGGTTTTTCAGACAATACAGATGATCAGATACCACCTTTGCATGTCAGGCAGCAGGAACAGGAAAACTTCAGTTTAATCAAATCTTTACTGAGTGCCATGTGACTATCCTCTTTGATGTGTTTCAACTATAATTTTAATCTGAACAGAATGTGACTTTTACAGCTTTTGTATGATTTTAATGATCAAAAATTAGTTATGCTTCAGTATGCATAACTATGTATTTAGTAGGCTTTTTCTCAAATGGAAAAATATGAGTGCAGTGAACTCTTTTTACATGTATAGTCTCTCGTGATTAAAGCAATCTGATAATTAATCTGAAATGGTACAAGGGATCATCTTTCTGACACTTACCTGATAAGTGTTGTCAAAACTGTCATACATAAATCTAGTGATTAAGGAGGTCTTTCCAACTACAAAAGAAAGAAGCACAACTATTTATGCATAAGATTAATTTAATATGTATAAGTTTAACTGAGTTTGTAAAAATAAAGGTGGAATACAAATAAAATAAAACACATAAAAGAGTAGGCATGTTGTTAAATAAACAAATAATGCCAAGCAATCAGGAAACTTTGATTTGCTCATCACACACTGTAATTCTATTCTTTAAAAGTAAGCTATGTCAGTAAAACCTGCATAGACTTTTGGATCTATTATTTTCAGAAGTTGTTACAGAGGTTATTTTATATTTTCTGACAAAACCATAAGTGTCTGCATTTGGACTGAGTTGTGTTTGATAAGATGTAAAAAGGTAAACAAGGAGCTCTGTTAAAATGTAAATTAACTTTAAGTTTAAATTGCCATTGCTAGAGCTTAACTGAAGATCATCCAAACCAATGGTGTGTCATAATTTAGTGGTACCATACTAAAAAGTTATTAGGCTATCTAAAACATTTGTAGAACCTGGAAGCTTTGCTACACACATGCACATTTGTAAATAAAAAGTTAATCTCAAAATAAATCTTTTTATTGTTCTATAGTGAATAAAATTATTGAATCTACCAACATAAGACAAAAATTATGATCTCTCTGTTTGCTCCCCTTTTAAAATGGACATGAAAATCATGTACAAATGAAGGCATTACTTATAGTTAGGATATTGTATAAATGCTATGTATAGTTATTGCTAAAATACATATCTAGATGTGGGTCTCTGGGAAATTAAGGATTCCTTCATGTGATCAGTTGTGGATAGGAAGGGTCTCATAAGCATCAATGGGTTCATGTGCCAAAATTATGCCATCTGCACCAACTTATCTGCAACACTAATTTCACACACCTTAATACAAATTAGCAGTCTGACATAAATCAGAATAGCGCAATTTTCAAATTAGCCCGAGGAAGCAAAATATTTAAAAAGGGCCTGGCTATGAATTAATGAATCCTACTGCGCAGATGGAAACAAAGATAGTAGAATGGAAAATAATCTGATGGGGAGGGAAAAAATATGCAATGTTATAACAAACTCAACAACATCAATAATATATACATCTATATTTCCCAGCTCTTAGGTACTGGAACTTTCTCCATAGTCCATAGAATTAAGAGAAAGGATCTCTTAATCATGATTAGAAAAAAAAACTGGGATTTGATAAATGAAAGAAGTTTGTTTACTAGATCTGGAAATGGAGACCTTTCAAACCGTAACCCTTCATTCTATTCCTTCAGCTATAGTTAAAAAAAAAAGAAACATATTGGGCCCTTTTGTGTCATGATCTCTATTTTAAAATTCCCAGATCTCTAAGCCAACTTGGTAGACCAACTTTCTTTTTAAATCAGACTTTTGAGCTTTCCTAGCTATTCAGAATGCCCAAAGTTATTTTTTTTTCCTACTGCGGAGAGCTTTCTTGATTTGCAACAGGCATAAGTCAAATCAAACCCTATTTCATATAAAGCAGAGAGATCGCTTTAGAAAAGAAGAATAAGTCATATATTGCTAAAATATAAAGTAGGATACAAGGAAAGAGAGCACAAGGCACTGGAGGCAGAACACCATGAAATAATGCTATTCATGCTTCATAACTTGTATATCCATTCATTGCCTTTGCTTACCCAAGTTGCAACATGTAACATGATGTAATTATAATTAAGAATGATACACTGCAGCGGTAATTATGATGTAATAGGTAGGGAATATTAAATTCTCAGATGTTTTAGTCTATTTTTTACCAGTACCCTGGCAAGTAAAAAGCATTGCCAAACCTGGCTTTTAATGTTGAAAACATTGCTTTTACATTGCCCGGAGTCCTCAGTAAGACCTTAGACATTTAAATTAAAAATGAGAAATGGAGATCTCTCATCCCTGCCTGCCCTTAACATGGCCTCGGTGGGCGCCCTGCAGCCCCAAACACCAGTCAGTCTATCAATGAAGATAAACCTCTCAGAATAAGCCAACAGTCAAGATCATGGGAACCTTAACCACAGCAACACTACTTATTTAAGAGCCAGTCTGATGTAAGGGCGAAGGGGCTGGCCCAGAAACCAGGATATGGGGAGTTCAAGCTCCCCCTCTTCTTTAGACATGAAAGCCAACTGGGTGACTTTGGGCCAATCACCAGATGATGTTGAGTTTTGGTCCCGCCTTAAGCATGTCTAGGTGGACTATGAATCGCTCTCTTTCAGGCCAATCCACCTGACAGGGTTGTTGTGATGGGGAAAATAAGAGGCAGAAGTATTAGACCTTTTTTTTTTTTTTGCTGCCCTGAGCTGACACACACATATACATACATACACATCTAGATAGATAGATAGATAGATAGATAGATAGATAGATAGATAGAGGTATCTTCAAATCAGTTTTTAACCCCTAGCAACTGCCTTCACTATCCGCTGGTGGGAATTTTTGGTGGATATGTGTGTGTTTTCAAATCACTCTTGATTCTTGGCTAATTGTTTGAATGAGTCCCTGCAGTTTTCTTGGCAAGTTTTTTTTTAAAAAAATGATTTTCCAATGCTTCCTTCCTAAGACTGTGTCAATAAAGACAAATCTTTGAAGCTCAGGGTTGAACTGCGGGGTTCTTGATGCTCTCTGAGCTTGGTTGTTTTCTTGCAGACATTTCATTACACAAACCAGGTAACCTCATCAGTGCTAGAAGGGAGTGGGAGAGGAAGAGGAGGAGAAGGGGACAAAGAGGGCGACAAAGACTACTGTGGGGTCCTTGATGCTCCCTTTGGTTTTCTTGCGGACGCTTCATTACCCAAACCAGGCAACACCATCAGTGCTAGAAGGGAGTGGGAGAGGAGGAAGAGGACGACTGTGGAGTCCTTAAACTCTCTGAGCTTGGTTGTTTTCTTGCAGATGCTTCATTACCCAAACCAGGTAACATCATCAGTACTATGGGAATGTGACTGGCCCAAGATCACCCAGCTGGCTTCATATCTAAGGCAGGATTAGAACTCGGAAGAGGAGGAAACTGCACAGCTCCTTGTCTGAAATGGTATACAGGCTCTCCTGCTTGGGCAGGGGGCTGGACTAGAAGACCTCCAAGGACCCTTTCCCAAGCTCTATTATTCCCAGTTTCCAACCAGGTGCTTTCAATCCCTACAACCAAACTGGCGCTCCTTCCTCCCTATAGTATATCATCAATGCGAGGCACACCAAATACCAACGATAAAAGTTTTTTTTAAAAAAACAGAAGCATAAAAAGATGGGATGAACATGGAAATAATCTGAAAACGAAGCAAAGACAACGGATGGCCTGTGGGTGGAACCGGAAAGAGGATGCCATTTGTCAGAGATGGTGTAGGGTTTCCCTGCTTGGCCGGAGGGGGTTGGAGTAGATGACCCTACAAGGTCCCTTCCAGCTCTTGTTAATCTGCAAGATTAACCGCAGCCACCCCAGCAACTCCTCCCCCATCCTTTTATTTTATTTTATTTGCTTGTCAAAAGCTTACAACATAAACAGAAGCCAGAATAAAACACAAGTTTAAATACAAGAAATAGGAACTGGGGACAAAATCCTCAGCCGTTTATGTCTCTTATTTGTAGGATTCGTATGCTTCCCCCCCCCCCACTCTCTCTTACAACAACCCCTTAAAATGAAAATTAAAAAAGAGACATTTAAAAAATAAAAGCTAAAAAAAAATAATAATCCCCGCAAGGACCAGACCCGGCTCAAGCCCCCCCCGCCCCCCCCAACCATCCTAGCCCGACGCTTCGCCGCCCCTTTCCTCCCCCCCCCGCTAAATTTCGTCGCCTATTTTCGCCCCCCCCCCACGTACCCCTCCCCCACCCCGTCAGGTGGGCTTTTTTTTTGTGGTGGCGGGGCAGCCCCTCCCCCCCCCCACCACGCGCGGGGCCCCCTCACCGCTTTGCTCGCCGAGGAAAACCAGCTTGAACTTTCGCAGCGGGTTGCCGAATTCTCCGCCGGCTCCTCCGGGCGCCGACATGGCTTGGGGAGCGGGGACGGCGGCGGGGCGAAGCCGGGCCGAGAAAAGACAGAGAGAGAGAGAGAGACAGAGAGAGAGAGAATCGCCTCAGCGGGTGCGCTTCCACCGCCTGGCAGCCGCCTGCGTCGCTTCCGGCCTCGCGCGCCCGCGTGCGTCACTTCCGCCTGTCGGCTCCTCCTTCCCGAGGAAAGGAGATGAGCTCATCCCGCCCGGCTGGGGCGAGGCGGAAGGGAGTGCCGTGACGTCACGGGGAGTGGAAGGAGGGGGAGGCGCTGGATGTAGACGTACGAATTGGTAGAGTTGACCATCCACCCCCCCCCCCGCTTCTCCCGATGTCGATGGGTGTTTTGTGGGCGGTTCTTGGAGGCGGCGGCCGAGACTGTGATTGGACTAGGGACGTCCTCTCGTTCAGTTTGATGGCAAGAAGGCAAATGAGACCTTTGAGTTCATTCAGAACCGTCCAAAGTCGTTAAGAACCCAGCGAAATAAAAAAAAACTTTATTATTATTACGATCGATCTGATCATTATAAATATTTCTAAAATGGCCACACTTCTAACAAAAAAAAAAATCAATCCTATTATCTAATGTTAGTATCTCTCTAATTTTTATGTCTATGGTACCGGCCACTTGAGTGGAATTGAAACGGTATTAGGCAAGTTGAGGCGCCACAGAAAGCACTACTTCCGGTTTCCGCTTGAGACGAAAGTACCACAGAAATAGAGGGGCAGAGCGCCCCCTAGTGAATGCGTCTTGAATCCCATGGGCGGACCTACAGATAGAAATGCAGCTTAGAAATCATATTATTGTGAATGAATGAAAACTGCTCTTTTCTTCTATCCCCTCTTATTTTCCTGTGGGGATTCCCTCGCAGGACTCAGTGGAAAAAATCGAATTTCTAATTTAATCAATGATGGATCATCAAAATATTCACTTTCTATAATTCACACATACCTAGCAAGAATGTATCTATTTTTTTTCCTAGTGAATATTTTATAATATATACTCTATCTAACAGATGTAACAGATAATCAGAGATTGGAATGGATCTTGTAGGTCATTTAGTATTCTAGTCCACACCCCACCCAAGCAGGCGACCCTACACCAAACCCCAAAAACTTTTAACGTTAGACTGTCTACTATTGACCTCACCCTTCCTAAGAGGGGGCGTGCATAAGTGCATCAACGTGCCTACCATCCCTATCGTTTCTTTTTATTTTTCTTATATGTATCCATTTCATGTATTCATAACTATGTTTATACTTATACCTGTTACCTTATAATCACTTGACAAACAAACAAACACAAATAAACAAACAAATAAATAAACAAACATTTCTGACAGATGGCAGTCCAGTCTCTACTTGAAAGCTTCCAGTGATGAAGCTCCCACAACTTCTGAAGGCAACTTCTGCTCCATGGATTGACTGTTCTCACTGTCAGGAAAATTTCTCCTTATTTCTAGATTGAATCTCTCTTTGATCCATTTCCATCCATTATTCCTTGTCTGGCCTTTGGGTGCTTTGGAAAATAGCTTGACCCCTTTCTCCTCTCTGTGGCAGCTCCTCAAATATTGGAAGGCTGCTATCCTGTCTCCCCTGGTCCTTTTCTTCCCTAGAGTAGCCATACTGAGCACTTGCAACCGTTCATTGTATGTTTTAGCCTCCAGTCCCGTAATCATCTTTGATGCTTTTCTCTATACTTTTTCTAGTCTCAGCCTCTTTTTTATAGTGTGGTGACCAAAATGGGATGCAGTACTCTAGGTGTGGTCTTACTAAGCCTTTATAGAGTGGTATTAGTACCTTACTTGATCTTGATTGTATCCCTCTGTTAATGCAACTTAGGATATAAATCCAATCACTTCCAGTTCTAGATTTGGGAGTCTGCAATTAGAAGATAGCAGTTACAACAGTCCCAAGCTGAGAAAATTGGATTTTCAGAACAATGAAGACTTTGCTGAATTTTTCCACTTAATTTCCACAGGGATGGATGCTGATTTCATTTTCCTGAGACCTTCAGAAAGATATTTATATTTCCCCTCCTGTTCCTGCTACCCATTTGCTTGCCAGTCTCTAAAACCTGCATAGGCAAAATGATAAGCCTGATGGGAGCAGGAGAAGATCTCCTTTGAGTAATTGTTTTCTGTTACAAGGAGGGCCTTTGATTGATGTTTCTATTTCTTCGAAGTTAGCAAGCAAGAATGTGGATTCTGATAAGAAGCGGCTCACATTGGCCAGAGGCAAGAGTTGAACTTTCATAACCTGAAAACTCAATGTAATGTGGGAAACTCACCTCCTGAATATAAAATTAGGTATGGACATGATAATGCTAAGAATATTATAGGATTCTATGATCGTTATTTTTTGTTGTTCAGTCACTAAGTCATGCCTGACTCTTAACTGATCCTGTGGATCATAGCATGTTATTTCCCCCATCCTCCACATATGTTACGTGGTATGTGTGTGTGTGTGTGTGTGTGTGTATGTATGTATGTATGTATGTATGTATGTATGTATGCAGGGGTGGGATTCTACCAGTTCGCACCTATTTGCTAGAACAGGCTAACATTCTAAGCAGTTCGGAGAACCAGTTGTTTGAAGAAATTACTGGCCTAATCCCGTAAGGAAGGCAGCAAGGAAACATTCTGGTGTTGCTTACAGAAAATGCCTCTCCGTTAACCCTTTTTACATTCTTGGCAGGATTAGACTTCCTGTCTCAGGAACTTCTCTGGAGTTTTTTTCCCCTCCTTTGCTGGTACTTTACTTGTGTGAAGTGACTGTTCAAACTTACAATGGCACTAAAAAAAGTGACTTATGACCCTTTTTCACACTTATGACTGTTGCAGCATCCCCACAGTCACGAGAGGCCATGCGAGGAGATGCATGCCTCGATGTGAATGATGTTGAGTTGGCCAGGCCCAGCCAGTAACATGACCACCAAGCCATGTCCACCCAGTCACATGACCACCAAGCCACACCCACCAACTAAGCCATGCCCACAGAACTGGTTGTTAAAAAAATTGAATCCTACCCCTGTATGTATGTATATATACATATCAGAGGTGGTATTCAGCAGGGTCTGACCAGTTCTGATTTTGAGTAGTTCGGAGAACGGGCAAATACCACCTGTGACTAGAGATTTTACAAGTATCCACCCACCAAGCCACGCCCATAGAACCAGTAGTAAAAAAATCTGAATCCCATCACTGATAGATAGATACAGGTGAAACTCAAAAAATTAGAATATCATGCAAAAGTTCATTTATTTTAGTAATGCAACTTAAAAGGTGAACCTAATATATGAGATAGACTCATTACATGCAAAGCAAGATAGTTCAAGCCGTGATGTGTCATAATTGAGATGCTTATGGCTTTACAGCTCATGAAAGCCCCAAATCCACAATCTCAGAAAATTAGAATATTGTGAAGAGGTGCAATATTTTAGGCTCAAAGTGTCCCACTCTAATCAGCTAATTAAGCCATAATACCTGCAAAGGGTTCCTGAGCCTTTAAATGGTCTCTCAGTCTGGTTCAGTAGGAATCACAATCATGGGAAAGACTGCTGACCTGACAGTTGTGCAGAAAACCATCATTGACACCCTCCATAAGGAGGGAAAGCCTCAAAAGGTAATTGCAAAAGAAGTTGGATGTTCCCAAAGTGCTTTATCAAAGCACATTAACAGAAAGTTATGTGGAAGGGAAAAGTGTGGAAGAAAAAGGTGCACAAGCAGCAGGGATGACCGCAGCCTGGAGAGGATTGTCAGGAAAAGGCCATTCAAAAGTGTTGGACTTATTTTGACAAAGAGCACACCACCGTTGTTTACAGCTAAAAAGCAGGTGAAACAGTTGTGCTTGCAAATAGGCAAATATGCCATCTACAGAGCCTCAGCATTTCAAAAGAAATATAGTTCTTTTTACACATTTTTTAAAGCAGACTGCAGCTGATTTAGAAATTAGCTCAGCTAATTTACTTCATGGGATCACAGAAGTCCATGGCTACTTTTCAGCTGGGTCTGGACTGAAAGTTAGATTGGGAAGCAAAAAAAAAATATTGAAGAAATGTCAACCATTTCCTTATCATAAGGAAGAATTTTCTGACAATGAGAACAATCAACCAATGGAAAAGAAGTTGCCTTCAGAAGTTGTGGGCGCTTCATCACTGGAAACTTTCAAGAAGAGACTAGGCTGCCATTTGTCAGAAATGATGTGGGGTCTCCTTTTTGGGTGGGAAGTTGGACTAGATCACCTACAAGGTCCCTTCCAACTCTTTTAATCTGTTTCTGTTAAAAATGTCCAAAGATCTGCCTATTTAGCAACCAGGAATTGAATCTGGCTCACAGGAGTGTTTATTATTTTATTGATTTTCTAATTCAATCATTTTTTTTCTTTGAAATATCTTTACTGTGCAAACTATAAAAAGTAATGCAAGTCTATGTTCCAGGTTGTTTCCCTTGTAACGGGGAATTCTTTTTATCTTGGAATGTTCCAAATAAACCGTAAATTAAATGTTCTTCCTTTTCTTGGTATTTTAAATTGGAGTCCAGCAAATTGAGGCACGAAACTAGAGCCACGTTTGGCCATCATTAAGGCACAAGAAACTATACAAGAAAAAAAAAGTACATGAAGTTGTGAGCACTGCACTGTTTTTCACAGTGTTATTATCCCACTTTTCCCCAAACCATTGTGATCAATGGACAGAAAAAAACCCGCAAGACTGGCTAATTGTTTGCAACTTTATTTTTAAAAAATGAAATATTCAAAGTACTTTGTCTTTCAAATGTCAACACATCATATATTAACTTTTGACTATTTACAGCAAGTTGTTGTAACGGTCTGGTAGAAAATAGATGCTTCTGGTATGAAACCCAGAGCAAAATGCCACAACCAATTTCAACACAGTCATTTTGCCTAAACCTGTACAGTATCTAGCCAATGTGAAGGCAGGAATATAAAACCAAAGTCTATTGTGTCTTAGCAACAAGGTTCAGGCCATTATACTACAATTTTGAGCAAAATTAGAACTGCCATCGTTTGATAGGCATGAAAACCCTTGGCATACATTGTAAACATCATTACTTTTCTGAGCAACCAAAGAAATCGCTGTCCAAAAGGTGTGTTTGGCTTCTCTGACTTTATCAACACTTTGTCAATT